CCCTCTCCCTGGTTCGTAGGAATTTTCCTAGTTTTGTGAGTATTGGGTGACTCTTTTGCATGAGAAAATGATGTAGACAAGTTATTTCTTCTCCAAAGAGTCTGAATTTGTTTTCTTTTCTTTCCCCTAGTTTTTTAATTTTATTTTATTGCTTAAAGTATTACAAAGGGTATTACATATGTGTCCTTTTTTTGTTTTGTTCTTTAGACCTTAAGTTTCATGAGCTGGGTGGTGGCAATTTGCTTGTTTTCCGCAAAAGACAAGCTCTTTTGCTAAGCCCCAGATAGATTATTCTTTACTTCTTTTTTTTTTTTTAATATTTTATTGATTTTTTACAGAGAGGAAGGGAGAGAGATAGAGAGTTAGAAACATCGATCAGCTGCCTCCTGCACACCTCCCACTGGGGAGGTGCCACAACCCAGGTATATGCCCTTGACCGGAATCGAACCTGGGACCCTTCAGTTCGCAGGCCGACGCTCTATCCACTGAGCCAAACCGGTTAGGGCTATTCTTTACTTCTTTTATTCTATAACCATTATCATATATACTCTGTCTCTACTAAAACATAGTTTATGTCTTAAAGCCAGGGTAGATATGTAGGGGGGTAAATAGGAGGGTAACACGATTGTGTATCATTGGTATAGTTACAGTTGTGTTGCCACCACCAAATGACAACTCAGATCTCTGGTCTTCTTAATTCTTTAGAACTTCCCTGCAACTCATTCATTGGATCCATTTCTAAGTTTGGGAAATTAACTAGAAAGAGTAACAAATGGAAGAAGGGGTGGCATTGTGCTATTATTTATTTATCTCCTCAGAAATCCCATTTCATGCTGAAGGCCGGCATCCCCGTTCCTTAATGGGCAAGAATTTTCGCTCCTACCTGCTAGATCTTCGAAACACTAGTACTCCTTTCAAGGGTGTGCGCAAGGCGCTCATTGATACCCTGCTGGATGGCTATGAGACAGCCCGCTATGGGACTGGGGTAAGCTGGGTTGTCACTAACGGGAACTAAAGGGATCCCCACACTAAGAGATCCTCACTCTCCCTTCCTTTTTCCTCAGGTCTTTGGCCAGAGAGAGTACCTGCGCTATCAGGAGGCCCTGAGTGAGCTGGCCACAGTGTGAGTTTAGAGGGGAACATGTCAAAGGGGACTGGTTAGAGAATGTATAGTAGGCTGGACTGCTTCCATAGTGAGATGGCCTCCATAAAGCAGAGTCCATGAGAACGTAAGAGCGTCAGGTCCCAGGCAATTAGAACTGCCTCTCGCTCACATTGGAAAGCAGATGCGCCTCAACGAGCTAATCAGCGAACCTTCTCCTGCTTTTGTACACCTCTTTTTTAATGGGTGGAAAAAGGAGTCGAGTTTTTCAGCACACAGAGATGCCTTCTCTCCCAGGGTCCTCCTTCAGTGCCTTGGTCTGATAAAAATAAGATTTAAATGCCACCTATTTTTAGTACTACTTTAAGCATTAGTAACCTCTGAAACAGGACATCACTGTAGAGTCCCCTGATGAGTATGTGTGTTACAGGAGAGGAATCATGAATTCTGGGAATGTTTTAAATATGTACTAACATAGTTTCATTATGTTGTTTATGCAAATCTATAATAATAAAAGCATAATATGCTAATTGGACCAGACAGCCCAACAGCAGAACAACCGTCCCGGACAACCTTCCAGATGAAGCCGGGGTTGCGAGGGCCTGCCCCTTGCACAAATTTTGTGCATTGGGCCTCTAGTGTTAAAATGAAAGGGTAAAAAGGATAAGCCAATCTAGAATTAAAAGTTAACAGCATGAAAAGAAAGAATACATCTGTTTTCTGATGTGTTGAGTATGCATCTTTCTCAAACGATAAGGGTTATGTCTGTCCTGTCTTTTCTCTGTTCCTAAGAATAAACCACCTTGTTCCTACTAAAAACTACTAGCAATGGTAATGAAAATGAGCATATGGAAGGGATGGAAAAGAGCATTTGGTCTAGAAGTCAGGCAGGAGGCCTGTTCAAAACTTTTTTTTTTTTTTAAGACAAATATTTTATGACTCCGTTACTTGAGATGCTTAGAGCAGTTAAATTCATAGAGGTAGACAGTAGAATGGTGGTTGCCACGGGCTGGAGGAAAGGAGGAATAGAGAGTTAATAGGTAGAGGGTTTGTTTTGCAAGATGAAAAAAATTCTGGATATTAGTCACACAATAATGTAAATGTACCTAACACTACTAAACTGTAAACATTTAAAAATAGTTAAGATGGGCCCTGGCTGGAGTGGTTTATTTGTTTGGATTGTTGTCCTGTCTACGGGAAGGTCACAGGTTCAATTCCTGGCCAGAGGCACATACCTAGGTTGTATGTTCAATCCCAGTTGGGGCAGGTACAGGAGGCAAACCATTCATGTTTCTCAAGTCAATATTTCTCCCTCTCTCCCTTCCTTCCTCTAAAAAATCAATAAGGTTCTATAAAAAATAGTTAAGATTTAAACACAAAAAATAGCAACTTTTATGTTTATTTTACTATAAAAATTTTTTAATTCAGTCTCTTTGATTTCTAGCTTCTAGAAAAGTTCAGTGGATGTAGTGAAAAATAGTATAGTCTCTGAGACCTGACTAACTTAGGTTTGAATCCCAGCTTTCTGTCACTTAATAGCTTTGTGACCTCAAGCAAGTTACTTAATGGACTCTCAGTTTCCTAATCTGAAAAATGAAATGATCCCACAATGTAAGAATATTGAGATATTAGTAAATTAGATGTGAGGAAAGCACCAAGTTTAATGTCCTAATGTGATCAGTACTCAGTAGTTACTTTTATTCTTATTATTTGATATTCCATTCTCAAGGGATTCTCTCTGGACTGGGAAAATATTAGTGGCATACACACATTAGGCGACTCACCAGAATTAAAAGTTTTCTTTAAGAGTAGTGAGATGAAAAGGTTGGGCCAGAGGCAGGGACTCAGTGGGAAAATTGGTTACTCTGCTATTTCTAAGCTGCCAGGTAGGATTTTAGTAATCAGTTTATAAAATAGGATAGAGACCATTTGTGCTACAACTGCATTTATGGGATGGATGAGCCTCGAATTCTGTTCTTTCATTCGTCCTCATTCTGTCTGTGACCTGCCCTCTGTGTTCTTCAGGGTCAAAGCACGAAGTGGGAACTCCCAGCGACAGCATCAGTCAGCAGCCAAAGACCTAACCCAGTCTCCTGAAGTCTCCCCCACAACCATCCAGGTGACATACCTCCCCTCCAGCCAGAAGAGCAAGCGTGCCAAGCACTTCCTTGAATTGAAGAGCTTTAAGGACAACTATAACACGCTAGAGAGCACTCTGTGATGGCACTCAAGCACTTGCTGTTATGGAGCCAGAGAGACTGCACTGTGCTTGCTGGGTGCCCTCAGGTCATCTGGATCCGCAGGCCCAGACGGATCAGCTGAAGCTCCCGGTCGTGTCCACAGCTCTTAGACCTCATGCCTAGAGAATCATTCTCCAAACCTTCCTTATGGCCACTTTCAAAACACCAGTTAAGACTTTATTTTCCCTTGGTAGCACTTTTTTTCTGGAGTTGAATTAAGATGTTTTTCTTAATGTTTCTGTCAGGACTTCCTTAAAAATCCTCACTTGGTTTTGATCATCTGCCCCTTTCTAGACTATAATCCCAAGGGTGAGAGAGTTGGGGTGACAGCGAAGAATGGTCAGACCAATGCACTGGTCTGACTTTATAAATTAATAAAATGAACAGTTGAACAATAAAGTATATGATTCATTCATTTACAGTTGCCTTTTAGTAAAACAGGCCTCTGATACGCTCTCTGCACCTGCCTCAGGATACAGCATGAGGACTTGCCTTCAGAGAACTGATAGGACTGAACCCTGGATCTGGGACCACACAGATACTCCTTGGGATCCCAACAGAAGAAATCTTAAAATTGAGACTCTGGTCCTTGCTCATAAAATTGCCTGTGTCACTAATAGAACACGAGAACCAGGATTCTTTCAGGTGTCTCGGGCATCAGCCCAGGTGACCAATCAACTCCTACCTGTAGGGTCATTGTTGGAGGCAAAAATGTTGCTATGACTACTGAAACCTTGGTTACTGAACCAAACAGAAAGAGCCTGCTCCGCCTCCCCAGACACATCAGACAAAGTCTACAAACATGTCTACGGAAAACCTGGCAAAGACAGAAAGCGTATGCAGAGTTGGAAGGAGAAGCTGGGGTGGGGGGGCTTTTCCAGATAAGTTTACCAGGAGTGGCCCTTCGGAGAGAGGCCCTTGGAACAAGGATAGTAACAGAAGTGGGAGACTGTATCTGGCACATACTATGCCTGGCTCATAGTATTTATGTGTGTCATAACTCCTACCTATGCTCTTTGATCCGTTCTGAAAGGCGTAGAGCTTTCTTCCCACCTCCCCTAGAAAATTAGCCTCTCTCAAAAGAGAAAGATCTGTGTGTCTCCCACTAGAGCAGGGCACTAGGGGTGAGGAACTGGAGATAGAAAGCAGATCAACAGAACTCCCTTTTCTTGCAGAGTTTTCAAAGGTACCTGATACTTAAGAAGATGATTAACAGGTAATCTCTGCTTCTATTTCTTCCCTTACTCTTCAGCTTAACCTTTTACCCTCTTGTACTCTCTGAGCCATCTCTCAGCTCTGGATCATCTTTCTAGGGGCTCATCAAGAAGAAAAACAGGCCCTAACCGGTTTGGCTCAGTGGATAGAGCATTGGCCTGCAGACTAAAGGGTCCCAGGTTTGATTCTGGTCAAGGGCATGTAGTTTGGTTGCAGTCTCGATGCCCAGCAGGGAGGGTGCGAGAGGCAGCTGATCGATGTTTCTCTCTCATTGATGTTTGATGTTTCTAACTCTGTCCTTCTTCCTTCCTCTCTGTAAAATCAATAAAACATACTTTTTTAAAAAGGAAAACCGGTGTGAAGGGGGCCAGAGCTAGCCTCCTAGTGCCCACTATGTTAAGCTGTATAGACAATGGTGATTGTTTTTTAATCCTCACTAGAGGCCATGCTTATTGATTTTTTAAAGAGAAGGGAAGGGAGAGGGCAATGTTAATGTGAGAGAGAAACATCAATCAGTTGCCTTCCCAAAGGTGCCCAGACTGGAGATCAAACCTGCAACTTAAATGTGTTCCCTGACTGGGATTCGAACCCACAACCTTTGGTGTATGGGACAATGCTCCAATCAACTGAGCAGCACCAGCCAGTGCCTAGACAATGGTTTTTATTGTCCCTTACCATTCTCTAAAGGAAAATCGGAGTTTTTGTTGTCTTATTTTTATTTACTTTTTAAATGTTTAATTGATTTTTAGAAAGAGAGGAAGGGAGAGGGACAGAGGTAGAAACATGGATGAGAGGGTAACATTGATCGGCTGCCTCCTGCGCACACCCCCACTGGAGATGGAGCCCGCAACCCAGGCATGTACCCAGACCAAGAATTGAACCAGCGACCTCTTGGTTCCTGGGTCCACACTCACCTGCTGAGCCACACCAGCTAGGTTTTTGTTTTATATTTTAAAGAGAATGCAAGTATTTGTTGCCAGGCATTGTACTAATCATGTGATAGGTATGCAGTATTTGTTGAATGGGTGAGAAGATTCAAAAGCCTAGGCTGTATATATCCTTTACCTGGAGGAACTTTTTAAAAAGCACAGGTACGCAGTCCTGGACAGTGTGGTTCAGTGGGAGCATCATCCTGTGCACCAAAAGGAGGCAGGTTTGACTTCCGGTCAGGGCATATACCAGATTGTAGGTTTGATCCCTGCAGGAGGCAACCAATTGATGTTCTTTCTCTCTCTCTCTCTCTCTCTCTCTCTCTCTCCCCCCCCCTCTCTTCCTCTTTCTCCCTCTCTCTCCTCCCTCCCTCCTTCCCCCTTCCTCTCTAAACTCAATTGTTAATACAAGTGAAAAAGTAGAAACCACCCAGCTAGGTATATTATGATACAAAAATGCTAGGCAGCTTTTAAACAGAATGAAGCAAAACTTCTGTGTGCTGATACGAAAAGTCCAAATTGTTAAGTCATGCTGCCTATATAAATATGCTTTTATGAAAAAATTAAAAGATGTATTTGCTGATATCTGATATAAACATTTTCTGGAAAGATACACAAGAAACTGATAGCTTTGTACTGGAGCAGAAGAATGAAGCTTTCACACTATATTTCTGTATGAATTTAATTTTCTAGTAATCTGTAAAAAATACTTGATTTAAAAAAAAATCTCTGGGGCCCTAGTTGGTTTGGCTCAGTGGACAGAGCATTGGTCTACGAACTGAAGGGTCCCAGGTTCGATTCCAGTCAAGGGCACATGCCTGGGTTGCAGGCTCGATCCCCTATAAGAGGCGTGCAAGAGGCAGCCAATCAATGATTCTCATCATTGATGTTTCTATCTCTCCCTCTCCCTTCCTCTCTGAAATCAAAAATATTTTTTTAAAAATCTCGGGGGTTATCTGAGCAGAGGATACATATATATGTATGTATTTATGTAGGCATATATGATGCATATGTGTATTCCTTATCTGTATTAAAAAAACATTAATCTTCCAAAAATGTGTCTAGTCAGGATTGAGAATCACTGGTATGATGGAAGGAGTTAATCCTTAGATTGGATTTGATATGCAGGTCTGCTATTAAGTGACCTTGTGCAACACACCTGAAATTTCAGTTTCCTTGTCTGTATATAAAAATTAATACCTAGCCGAAACTGGTTTGGCTCAGTGGATAGAGCGTCGGCTTGCAGACTGAAAGGTCCCAGGTTCGATTCCGGTCAAGGGCATGTACCTGGGTTGCGGGCACATCCCCAGTAGGAGATGTGCAGGAGGCAGCTGATCGATGTTTCTCTCTCATCGATGTTTCTAACTATCTCTCTCCCTTCCTCTCTGTAAAAAATCAATAAAATATATTTTTAAAAAATTAATATCTATGGTACATGCTTGCTATGATGATTAAATGACAAAATGTACTTTATACAAGGTTCTAAGTCTGTTCTAGGTACCCTTTCAAGGAGTTGGCAGTCTTCTGACACTATCACAAAGATTTTGGTGAAGAAGCTACCACACTGTTCTAGCCGGTTTGACTCAGTGGATAGAGCATCCACCTGCGAACTGAAGGGTCCTGGGTTCGATGCCTGTCAAGGGCACGTGCCCAGGTTTCAGGCTCGATCCCCAGGAGGGGGCATGCAGGAGGCAGCCGATCAATGATTCTTTCTCATCATTGATGTTTCTATCTCTCCCTCTCCCTTCCTCTCTGAAAAAAAAAAAAAAGCAGACACACTGAGGGGTTTTTGTCTCCAGTCCTAACTGTAACCCATTCTAACCCTCCCTCCATACCTGGGGCAGGTGGCGAAATGCACACACACTCTGTCAGTGGCAGACGACATTGAGCCAGAGGAGAAACCCTTATATTACTCTGAGGATTCAGGATGCCATGGTACAGGAGTTGGCACTGGCCAACAAGCAACTATTGATGGTGAGCTCTAGCAAGGATGACCTTAAGTCTCATCTACTACTGCTCTGTGCTGTGCGCACTGCGATTCCCAAACTCTTAATCTCCGCTACTACTCACCCTGCCATTACCTTCCTCTGAGGTTTTCACTCTGGCACCAGAGCAATAACTCTTTAACTCTTACATGCCTTAAGCACCTTTTTACTGATTCTTTGCATTCAGCTGCAGATGGAATATTACAAAGTTTCAAAGTTCAGTCTACCAGCCGTGGGCAAACTTATGGCCCGCGGGCCGGATCCGGCCCGTTTGAAATGAATAAAACTATTGAAAAAAAAGACCGTACCCTTTTATGTAATGATGTTTACTTTGAATTTCTATTAGTTCACACAAACACTCCATCCATGCTTTTGTTCCGGCCCTCCGGTCCAGTTTAAGAACCCATTGTGGCCCTCGAGCCAAAAAGTTTGCCCACCCCTGGAGCCCTTGCTTCTCTCATCTTGGTGAGACTCAAAACTGCTTTAGTGCCCAGCACCTGCCTCTCAAAATCTCTCTCCCTGGGGTCCCCCCCAATTGTTGTCATGTTACCCTCTTTGTACCCCAGGTGCCTAGCAGAGTTCCTGGTTCATGATATGTTCTCAGCAAATATTTGCTGAACATGGGGCTTCCCCCTGGAGAAAAAAACTGGATAAGCTTCTCCTTCAATGGTGTAGCCTCTATGTTCCTGCCTAGCTTTATGTCACAGCTAAGTCCAGACCCCAGAGGACATGATAAAACAACGGGAAAGCAAGCTGGGAGAGAGAATGAGAAAGGGGGGTAAACAGAGGGCAACATCATACTGTGGATGGAAAGGGGCCACTTACTAAAACTAAGTTCAGGGAAGGCCTGCATACGGCAGCCTTACAAACTCAGAGACTTAAAATAACCGCAAAGAATGGCCTGAAATTAAAACTTTTTAACCAGCCTGCTTGAGTGGCTCAGTTAATTGAGTGTTGTCCTGTGCACTGAAAGGTTGCCGGTTCAATTACTGGTCAGGACACATACCTGGGTTGTGGGTTCGATCCCTGGTGGGGGCACATATGGAAGGCAACTGATAGATGTTTCTCTCTCTCTCCCCCTTCCTCTCTCAGAGTATGATCTCCGGTAAGGATTAAAAAAACAAAACAAAACTTTTTAACTAAAAAGTTTATGGTGGGTGATCATGTCCTAGAATAGAATCTTCCCTGAAAAAGATCAATTTTCACCTTAGTTAAGTCTGCCAATGAATTTCATATAACCCACTTACGTCTTCTCTTTTGATTGTAATGT